TCAATGTGAATTGGAGTTCTTTTCAGGCGACCTCATGCGATAGAGAGATCGAACAACTTTGCAAGAAGGATCGTTTAGCAGTTTGCAACGAATTTGTGTTGAATCAAGAAGATTGCTTTTCAGACCAATCTTATGATATAATCAAGAAATTGAATTCATCATTTCCAATGCTTAATCACCATCGTAGCCAAGAAGCAGCTACTTCCATAGAGGTACCTTATTATATTATCTACGAGCCACATTAATTAACTTTTAAGAGTTTTTTTGTTTTCTTGTTGGTTTCCAACTAAGGCTATACATAGTAAAATGAAACAAGATCTAGAGATTATCTCACATACAATGTCACCGGTGCATCAACACCAAATCATTAATGTTTTATAATTAATCCACTAGTTAGTTTTACGTTTTTTGGGTTGTTATTATTATATAGTTTCACATCAAAGATTCGAAAGCGCCGTTTTTTTAATTGACTAATATTTATCTTTTTGCGCAGCAGCAACATCAGTTTACGGATCCTTATTACTTCTTGGGGAAACCAAGAGACCTCATTTACCGTTAATTTCTCATATTAATAACAATTTGGCGAGAGATGTATCGTGTTGGCTTTTTCTTCTTCATTTTAGTGTCAAATACTAAATCGATGTAAGATAAGTCAATACAATTTGTATGATATTTTGTTTTTATAGTTCGTGTGGAACCTTAACTATGAATGTATAGCATTAAACGCGTTTTTGTTAACATAATAAATGTCTTGAGTTTGTTTATCCTTTGCTTTTAGAAATACAAAAAAATATACGAAAAAAACTATAACAAAAAGTGCCAAATCGATTAAACAAATAAATGTTTTAGCTGAAAATGTGGTGTTAATAATTATAGTTATTTTTCATTTCATACATAGAAAATATGATTGAGGTCAAACCAATCCACCTAGTTATTAAATTCGTTGCGAAATGCAAATAATCACAAATTACTAAATAAATTTAAATTTTGCATAAAAAATATTTCATAAAATATAATGATGCAACAATAATTTTTAAAAATATATATCTTACACGAACGGAGAAAATATAAATTGGTATCCATGATTTATATGAGTCCTTGACGGTTATAGCTGTCCGCGAATCCAAAAAAAAAAAAACTTCAAAACCTTTCAATATTATCTAGTTAAATGCAACAACAAAGGGCTTCTAATCACTACTATGTATAAATTGGTTTATGTATGCACACGAGTTCATATATATATGTGTAAAATGCGTCTAAACATATTTTCCAGAGACGTTATCATTTTAATAATTTTGTATCTTAATGATGTGAAGCTATTTGCTTTGTCCTCTAACCAATGAGATAACTTCTGCTTTGATACATTAAAATGTCTTGGAGCAGTCGAATTACTAAATTTGCTTTACTCAAGCTCAAACTTAAAAGGGTACGTAAGTTATGTTCCCAGACTGATCATAATTATATTGTTTAAAATATCTAAAACTTTGAATTATATATA